TACCTACGTATTTTAATTTTCAAAGCAAGTGAGCTAAGTACTTTCTTAGTATGTTTTTTTCTTCTTCAACAAATGCATTTTATATCTGCATATTACGTGAAAAAAAATTGCTCAGGCAACTAAAACTTTTCACTGAAAGAAATTTACAAGGAATACATTTTGAAGGCAAGAGAAAGAACAGGTCCTAAACAGAAGCTAGCATTTTCAAACATAATAACTATAAATTTTATTGCTCAGTCAGTACCTTGAGAATATAGCTAAGAACTTGTAGGATAAATTATTATTTAAAATGAGTATATTTAAAAAACTAAATTATCTCTAGAATTTTCTATTGCAGCTGATAAGCAAATAAATATATAAAAGCTATTTGTATTGTTGAGAACTTTGACTTGACTACATTTTTTGGAAATGCTGCTTAAAAATGGTACATCATTAGGAAGTGACTTATTTTTGTGTATGGAGAAGAATTTTGAGAATTTTAAAGTTGACTTATTAGAATTGATAACCATGACTAACACTGACTTCTACTGGGATCAACATTAACTTCAGACTTATACAACATAAACACGATGTGACAAGACTTTAGGCAATTTATTGTACTATTAACTAGAAATGACTTTGAGCTCAAAACCTAAAAACTACATAAATAATAGCCATGGTAATTACACATGCCTCACACACAGTTCATATTCCAAGTAGGTATGGTGGATGCTGAGGGAATTTTGAACTGCTGAAAAATAATCATTTTCTAAGCTTTCCATGGAAGTTCTCTCTGTGAAATTTGTATTGAGGAATAGATTGTCCTCTAGGGGGTGCGCATGTACCACTTATATTCCTTTTCCCATAAACCATTTCCCATAAAATGGGTAGTACAAAACACTGAGTTATAAAATAAACACATGTTCTTGGATCTATCTCTTTTCTGTTCATCTTTTAAAAAACATATATTTAAAGGTTATATTTATTTTGTAAAAGGAATGAAAATTTTCTAAATGGAAGAAACCAAAGAAAAAAGGTACAGTTTTATAGTTATGGATAATGCAAAGAAAAGCAGCATAATTAAAAGGCACATTTATCTAAATTAAAATAAAACTCACAATTCACTTTAAGCTGAGTAATTATTTTAAAAATCATGAATGACTCTTGCTTATAGGCCATTATTCTACACTACTTCCCTCCCCCCCCCCCCCCCAAAAAAAAGTTAACTAAACACCTAGTATGTGGCAGAAATAAGGAAACATCCTTCCTTTGGGGAGTTTATAGTCTAATAGAGAAGACAGTCATGTAAATGTAAAGCATCATGCAACACTAAGTGCTATAATAAAGATTTGAAAAATATGCTTTAAGAGTCGAGAAACGATTATATTAACTATGGTGAGAGGAATTGTCACAGAGAAGGAGATAATTCCTGTTTGTTGGACTCTTTTATCCGAAGTAGTCCTCCCCAGTATTTCTGTTGACAGATTTCAGTCCTAAGATGTGTGTTCTGTTTCTCTGCTACTGCTCTATAGCCTGACTGGCAGCCACAGGGTCATGTTCGGATATTTATACACAAGAATCTTAGCACTAGTTTTCCTAGTCTTTTCTCATCCAATTCTGGGGTCTTTTCTCACCCAGACAATTAGTTTAGTTGAGCGACACAATGGGATGTAAAAAAAGTGAGCATCTAAACATTTTTGGGAAGTGAAAAATCGTCTTGTAGGAAGTCAGCTGCATTGTCATTGGAAATTACTGGAACCCAAGTCAGCATGACATTAGTATGCTTAACTGACTAGTGAGTTACTGATTCCTATGGCACAGAAAGCTTTATTTCACCTGTGTTTTTTAAGTAAATCTAGATTGTGAGAGTATGCTGGTTTATGGGAAAAGAAACTCTCTTATGCTTATGTCCCATAGATGGGGATGTGTGGTTCTCTGTAGACATGATTAAGCACATGCATTTGGATGGGCTAGATGAGTACTTGGGAAAAAGAAGAGCTTATAAAAAGCAGTTGTTGTAGGATTTGCTCTTCTGTACTCCCCCAGAGCAGTTGTGAGAGGGGGATTGCCTGTTGGGAGATTACATCACAAAACTGTAATTCTCAGGTGCCCTCATTGACAATTTAATGAGAATGTGCTTATAAGCAATGCAAGTCTAGACAAGGTTTGCTACTTTTTAAAGCATCAGCTATTTTTTAAATGAAACAAAAGAGATAAAATCTAAAGATATGGTTTGATTTAGATGCCAATACTTCTCCATCTCCAGTATAAGTGCCCAAGAGTGGGCATGTGGGTGGGGGATGGTGGTGGTGAAAGAAGCAACACCTTCATGTGGATTTTAAAACACCAGGAAGCCACGGGCAAAACAAATAACAAATTTAGATGAATGCTTAGGTATTTTATGAGTACTTTTTGTGAAGCTGTATTTTTAGTTTTATTTTCAGAGAAAATTATGGAAAAGCATACACAAGATTTTAGCATTTTTATGAAGATAGGATTATTTGTTAGTCAAAGTCAGGGGGAAACCGAAAGAATTCCAGATTGCTCTGTCAGGATTTTGGAATAATACAATGATAGATGAAACTTAAACTCAGCACAAGCAAGGTAATGCCGCAGAAGCTGAGATTTTCAATAACTATGTTTATACATTGTGACAGCTTATAAATTAAATCCTAGAACTCTTAGGAAATACACCCAGCCATCACCAGGGATAATATAATAGAGGTGATTGCTCTATAAAAAGGGGAGTTTGAACCTGATGCTATATGGAAATGGAAAAGGAAGTAAATTTGAAAGTAGAATTTTTCTGACTATTTGGTGAGTTTTTATGTCCTGCAATCAGAAAACAAAAGCAAAACAACATCAGAAGTTGCTATGAAATATGAGTGGGTTGGGTAAATGCTGGTAAGAGTGTAGGTGCAAATTTTATAGAATATAGATTCAAATAAAAATAAATCTATTGCTTTTCAAGTGCTTTGTATAATTAATTAATGTGGAACATTACCTATTTTTAAAAATATATTTTTATTGATTTCAGAGAGGAAGGGAAAGGGAGAGAGAGAGAGAGATAGAAACATGAATGATGAGAGAGAATCATTGATTGGCTGCCTCCTGCACGCCCCACACTGGGGATAGAGCCCAAAATTCTAGCATGTGCCTTGACCCAGAATTGAACCATGACCTCCTGGTGCATAGGTCAATGCTCAACCACTGAGCCACGGTGGCCTGGCTAGAATGTTATTTAAAAGAGACAAGCTGACCTGATTACTCCAGGGGGAAAAAATGAGAAAAGTCAAAAGCATTCTGTAAAATGTATTACCGTGGGAATTTTAAGAGGCCTTGAGACAATTCCAAACCTCAAAAACAAAAAAATGAGACATTTCAATGCAGTCATGAACGATCATG